AGTGTGTAAAATTGAATAATAGTGATACTAACTTGTATTTCTTGTAGGCATTTGGATATTATCCTATCACAGACAGCATTATACTTCAGTATAGATCTTGACTTTTTTTTTTTTTAATTATGACTGTAGCTCCTTTCCTCTTCAGTTTTTCATTCTTGCCATAGTAATCCATATAATTGGCAAATCAAAAATAGCCAGTACCAGTCACTATCTATTCACAAATGCCTAGAATATCGATGTTTGTGCATTCCATTTAATTTTTTGACAGCTCCAAATTTTCTTAGGTTCATATTTCATACATTCCATCTTCTGATTATTAATGGGTGTTTACAGATGTTTCTCCCCATTTTGAGTTGTACCCCATAAGCAAATGAAAGTCCCAAAAGTTTTACTCTGTTTGCATCATCATGGTCAACTCTTGAGGAGACAGCTCTTCCCCAATTGTATTTTGGGTACCATCTAACGTGAGGGACTCATCTTCCAGCACTATATCTGACAGTATTCTGGTGTAATTAATAATTTTTCAGTATTCTGGTGGCTGTCTGACAGTGTTCCACTGCTATTCATAATGTTTTCAGTGGCTAAACATTCAGAATCAGTTTGCCTCTCTGTCTTCCTAGTCCAGCTTAATCTGGAAGCTCAGCTGAAGTCTATCCACCATGATTGATCCTGATTGTATTTAAAATACCGGTGACAGTTTTCAGCGTCACAGCAACACATAAGAACTACAACAAATTGACAGATGAGTGATGATTGTTACCATCCATATCATAATTAATTCTTTAAACATGTACCAAATTAATTTGTTAAACATGTAATATTCCAATATTTCAACCTGGTGATGAACAAAATCAAGAGTTCTAATGCTGTCTTATACAAACATGAATTCGCATAGTTTCCATTATAGATGATTTGTCCTAGTAATTTGATGAACTAAATACAAAAGCATACTCTATTATTAATCTGATTTTGATTATCTACTATTGTAGATTGTACATTGCACATTGTAGCCACTCAATAAGTGTCATTTTTTTCTAGTATATAAATTTAAAAGTACCTAGACAAATAGAAAACTTGTAATTGACCATCTTTTATCTTGTTAGTATTCTTTGAGTAGTATATTCATAGCTTCTCCCTCCTCACCCATCTAATTCTCTTTTCTTAATTCATGTGTCCTATCCTTTCTGTCAATATAGTAGTTTTAGCAAGGGATATCTGGTGATTTCTTTAGTTCTGCTAAATTGGTATCTCAGACATTCTGGTTTAATAAATATCAGTACTTAGATTGTTTTCAGTTTTTTTAATATTCAATGA